TCCCAGTGAGGCCCCGCCCCTTCCACTCCTCCCACCGGTCCCAGTGCGGCCCCGCCCCTTCCACTCCTCCCACCGATCCCAGTGCGGCCCCGCCCCCCCGGCCCCTCCACAGCTCCCGGCATCCTGGACCACCTCTTCTGGGATCCCACCTTGGCCGCAGGGGTTGTGAATAAGGTTGCGTCCGATGGGTCTGCGTGCGCAGAAGCGGCCCAGCGGGCAGGGCCTGGCGTTGCGGGAGGGAGACTGGCAGCTGCGGGCGAGCTGCAGCAGCGCGCGGCCGGTGGCGCTGTGGTCCCGGGCCAAGATCAGCAGCCACAGGGCCTGGCTGTCCACCAGGTCGCGCCAACCCCGGCACACTTGGCGGCAGCGCCCCAGCAGCGTGCGCGGGGGGACGTGGCTCAGCACCACCAGAAGCAGCTCCGGGGGCATTTGGCTCAGGTCCAGCGCCCCTTCGGGTTCCGGCTCCGGCGCGGGAACCCGGGCGGCCCGGCACCTGGAGGCGGAGGCGCCCATGGTCCCCCCGCCAAGGCCCGGCTGTGGCTGCGGGAGAGGATGGGTCAGGGCGTCAGGGACCAGCAGCCTCCGCGGCGCGCCGCCTCCGCCTGCCCTGCCTCTGCCCGTCGCACCCCTACCTTCACCACTCCTGGGCCCAGTTCCCAGGTCCCCATCCCCCAGCCCGTCCTTGATAGCACCGATATCTCGGAGACCCCGCGGTCTGTGTGTATGTCCCGAATTGCATGCAATCGGCCCCACCGACACCCCACCCCAAGTCCTACCCCGGGGCCTGGCGGCGCTCCTCGCCCGGATGCCGCAAGCTCCCCACGCCCCTCTGAACCCTTTTTACTCGCCGGCCCCTCCCCTCTTACCAGCCAGCTTGACCTACCCCTGAATCCTCCTTACTGGCCAGCCCTTCCCACCCACTCCTTCCCCATCTCGAGACCCAACCTGCTTCCCGCGATGGGGCCGGTCCGGCCGGGATCCTTCCTCTCCAGCCTGCCTCTTGAAATGTTCCCAATTCGTTAGCGGCAGTGAGAGGCCTGGCTCCGAGCAACCGTTGTTATTTTGGTCCGGCTTCTTGGTGAGAGGCCTCATATCCGCTAAGGCGTTAAAAAATTTCCATCACCTTTAAGGTGGGGCATGGTTATCTTCATTTCACAGGAGAAAACAGGCTCCAGCTGCTAAAAATGAGTGCCGCAACCAATCATAACACTAACCAACTTTTATGGACGGTTTTACTGCCATCCAGGATGGCAGCCCCATGATAGGTGCCGTTATGCCTCCACTTCACAGGTGAGAAAACAGACCAGCAAAGGCCAAGTGATTTGCCTGTGATCACCGGCCAGTAAGGATTTGAATCCAGCCAGCCTAGCCCCAGAATTCCTAATTTTAACCTCTAGATCAGCTCTGTCCAGTAAAAACACAATTGTGGCTGGGTGTGGTGACTCACGCCTGTAATCCCAGCACTTTTGGGGGCCAAGGCGGGTGGATCGCTTGAGGTAAGGAGTTCGAGACCAGCCTGGTAAACATGGTGAAACCCATCTCTACTAAGAATACAAAAATTAGCTGGGCGTGGTGGCAGGCACCTGCAATCCCAACTAATTTGGAGGCTCAGGCAGGAGAATCGCTTGAACCTGGGAGGCTGAGGTTGCAGTGAGCAGAGATTGCACTGCTGCACTCCAGCCTGTGCAAGAGGATGAGACTCTGTCTCAATAAACAGAAAAAACAATCATGAAAGTTAATTATATGAATTGGATCCTTCTTGTCATACTCAACTAAAACAAAGTTGAGAGGCCAGGGGGAAAAAACACTCAGGGCAGACACCATTTGCCCCAAGAATGTGATTCTCTGCAGGGCTGGCTGTTAAAACTGCCAGGTGTAACCTGGAACCAGTCTAACTGATACTGAAACAACCTGCTGTGACTCTAAGACTAGTTTTACCCTCTGCTGTCACTTACCAATCAGAACTTGCCAGCTCCCCAAAACATCCCTAGTGTCAAGGAACTTTCTTGCAAAACAATACCTGACATTTGTTTCTTATTTTAAAAAACCCTCTAACCTCTTTGCTCTTTGAAAGTACTGAAGACCACGTGGTCTGTGTACATGCCTCAAATTTCAATTCTTGCTTCCCAAATAAAACATATTTTTTTTGAGACAGCAAAGACTCTGTCTCCCAGGCTGGAAGGTCAGTGGTGCTATCTCGGCTCACTGCAACCTTTGCCTCTTGGGTTCAAGCGAGTCTCACGCCTCAGCCTCCCCAGTAGCTGGGATTACAGGTGTGCGCCATCATGCAGGCTAATTTTTGTATTTTTAGTAGAGAGGGGGTTTCACCACGTTGGCCAGGCTGGTCTCAAACTCCTGACCTCAGGTGAGCTGCCCGCCTTGACCTCCCAAAGTATAGGGATCACAGGCGTGAGCCACTGCTCCCAGCCCAAATAAAACATTTTAAATTTAGAGATTTGTCTCTGTATCTCTATATTTTATTTGGCTTTGCATAATGTGAGCCATATACATAATTTAAAACATCAACAAACAAAACCAGACATAGATTATTCCCCACAAAGAACTTACCTTCTAGAGGGAGAGACACGATAAACAGTTGCATAATGAGCAAATTACATAATATCAAGGAAATAATTTAAAATAAAGCCTCCAGGTCAGGCACGATGGCTCCTGCCTGTAATCCCAGCACTTTGGGAGGCCGACATGGACAGATCACTTGAGGTCAGGAATTCAAGACCAGCCTGCCCAACATGGCGAAACCCTGTCTTTATTAAAAATACAAAAATTAGCCAGGAATGGTGGTACATATCTGTGATCCGAGCTACTTCGGAAGCTGATACATGAGAATCACTTCAACACGGGAGGCAGAAGTTGCAGTGAGCTGAGATATCACCATTGCACTCCAGCCTAGGCGACAGTGAGATGACATCTTAAATAAATAAAAACCTCTTTTTGACCTTCTAAGAATTCTCTCCACAAATGCTGAAAAGAATTAAGATGTGAGCATGGGGGCTCACATCTGTAATCCCAGCACATTGGGAGACCGAGGCAGGAGGATCTCTTGAGCCCAGGGGTTTGAGACCAGCCCTGGCAACACAGTGAGACCCTGTCTCTACAAAAAGTTTAAAAAGCAGCTGCATATGGTGGTGTGCACCTCTAGCCTCAGCTGCTTGGTAGGCTCAGGTGGGAAGATGGCTTGAGCCAGGGAGGTTTCTTTCTTTTCTTTTCTTTTCTTTCTTTTTTTTTTTTTTTAGGAAAGACAAGGTCTCAAGGCTGGTCTTGAACTCCTGAGATCAAGTGATCCTCCCACGTCTACCTCCCAAAGTGCTAGGATTATAGGCATGAGCCACTGTGCTCACTAAAGCTAATGTATGAGTTTCAGTGTGATGTGTAAGCAGTGAGAATCTTTTTGATAATGAGATACAATGACCCAACTCTATGATTTTTTTTTTTTTTGAGACATAGTCTTGTTCTGTCGCCAGGCTGGAGTGCTGTGTCACGATCTCAGCTCACTGCAACTTCCACATCCCGGGTTCAAGCAATTCTTCTGCCTCAGCCTCCCAAGTAGCTGGGACTACAGGTGCACACTACCATGCCCACCTAATTTTCATGTTTTTAATAGAGACAGGGTTTCATCATATTGATCAGGATAGTTGCGATCTCATGACTTCATGATCTGCCCAGCTTGGCCTCCCAAAGTGCTGGGGTTACAGGCATGAGCCACCGCACCCAGCCATATATGAATTTTTAAGAACTTTTTGAGACAGAGTCTCACCTTGTCACCCAGGCTGGAGTGCAATGGCTTGATCTTGAACTCCTGACCTCATGTACTCTGCTCACCTCACCCAAAGTGCTGGGATTACAGGCATGAACCACCACACCTGGCCTGGATTTTTTTTTTTTTTTTTTGAGATGGAGTTTCGCTCTTGTTACCCACACTGGAGTGCAATGGCGCGATCTCGGCTCACTGCAACCTCCGCCTCCTGGGTTCAGGCAATTCTCCTGCCTCAGCCTCCTGAGTAGCTGGGATTACAGGCACGTGCCACCATGCCCAGCTAATGTTTTGTGTTTTTAGTAGAGACGGGGTTTCACCATGTTGAACAGGATGGTCTCGATCTCTTGACCTCGTGATCCACCCACCTCGGTCTCCCAAAGTGCTGGGATTACAGGCATAAGCCACCGCGCCGGGCCCTGGCCTGAATTTTTTTTTTAACAGTTAAAGGGTTTAAAAAATTTAAATAGGTTGGTCAGGCACAGTGGCTCACGCCTGTAATCTCAGTACTTTGGGAGGCTGAGGCAGGTGGGTCACCTGAGGTCAGGAGTTTGAGACCAGCCTGGCCAACATGGTAAAACCGCCATCTTAAAACCCCCCTACTTAAAAAGTTAGCTGGGTGTGGTGGCACACACCTGTTGTCCCAGCTACTTGGGAGCCTGAGGCAGGAGTATGGCTTGAACCTGGGAGGCAGAGGTTGCAATGAGCCAAGATTGTGCCACTGCACTCCAGGCTGGGCAAGAGTGAGACTTTATCTCAAAAAAAAAAAAAAAAAAAAAAAAAATTCAAGTAGGTCAAAAGAGTGGATACTGAAAAGTCAGTTTCCTTTTCCAGTACTCGCTTCTCCTCCCAAGGGGGAGACTCTTGGTCTCCACCCAAGGACACCACACCCAGATATACGTTCACCAATCCTTCTGAGGACTGCTACCTGAGAGACTTTATTTGCAAATGAGACCAGTGCAGTTCTGCCCCTCACCCTACCATGGTCCAGAAGCCTCCTAGCCCCTATTTCTGTAGCTCAAGATGCTATTTAAGCTTCAACCATCTGGCCCTTCTTTGAATCTCATACTTTGTGGGGTTCCTGTGTGCGTGCACATAAGGGATTTGTGTGCCTTTTCTCCTGTGAATTTGTCTACTGTCAAGTTTATTTCAGAGACTTAAATTGTCAAGCCTTTGGAGAGGGTGGATGGAAAGTTTTAGTTGTCCCTTCACTTGTTAAGAGTTTTGAAAAGTTCTTTGACATGAGGTCTCACTCTGTTGCCTAAGTTGGAGTGCAGTGGTGTGATCATGGCTCAACCCATCCTCCCACCTCAGCCTCTCAAAGTGCTGGGGTCACAGGCATGAGACAGTGCACTGCAGGCACGAGTCAGGTCACTGCAGCCTCACCCTCCCAGCCTCAGATGATCCTTCCATCTCAGCCTCTTGAAGAGCTGTGATTATAGGCACAGTTACAGGTCCACCATGTCTAGCTCTTTTTTTTTTTTTTTTTGAGACAGAGCCTTGTTCTGTCACACAGGCTGGAGTGCCATGGTACACTCAGCTCACCGAAGCCTCTGTCTCCCAGGTTCAAGCAATTCTTCTGCCTGCCTCGGCCTCCTGAGTAACTGGGATTACAGGCGCACGGCACCATGCCTGGCTAATTTTTGTATTTTTAGTAGAGATGGGATTTCACCATGTTGGTCAGGCTGGTCTCAAACTCCTGACCTTGTGATCCGCCCACCTCGGCCTTCCAAAGTGCTGGGATTACAGATGTGAGCCACCGCACCCGGCCCAATGTCTGGCTAATTTTTTGTAGAGATGAGACTGGACTACAATGTCTCATCTCAAACTGTTGGCCTCAAGCGATCCTCCTGCCTTGGTCTCCCAAAGTGCTGGGATTACAGGTGTGAGCCACCACACTGGCCTCGTCCCTCTTCTTTGTAGACAGGAAAGGGCTGAGGAAAGCAGAAACAGAAAACAAAAAATGGATTGGCACTTTCAAAATTACCTTCCTTGTAATGGATAAAGCAGAGTTGTTCTTCAGTTCAGCAAACCGGAAAATCTCTTAATCTAGGAGGGCCCGTTGTGGGTTTTATGGAGCTGCTGCTTCAGAGACTCCACACAGAGGGGCAAACGTTCTAGAGCTACCACAAACCCCATGGAGATTCCAAATCATCAGGTCTGCATTTGTAACAAATTCCCAGGAGATGCTAGAGCTGATGCTTCCAGGATCAAGCTTTGAGTAGCTGAATCTTACAGGAATCAAGCCAAGCATCCCTTGCATGTTGCTGCACATATTCTTTTGTTTTTTGAGATGGAGTCTCGTTCTGTTGCCCAGACTGGAGTGCAGTGACATGATCTCGGCTCACTGCAACCTCTGCCTCTTGGGTTCAAGCTATTCTCCTGCCTCAGCCTCCCGAGTAGCTGGAATTACAGGCACATGCCACCAGGTCCAGCTAACTTAAAATTCTCTCCTTTTATTTCCCCTTTACATTATAGCTAGGGCATTTTGGAGCTAGGTTTT